CAACCATTGTATTACATGCTAGATAGAAACATTCTGTTAACACTAGGATGAAAGAACACCAGAGAGACTTCACACATGCTTCTGTGGATACTTCAACCATTGTATTACATGCTAGATAGAAACATTCTGTTAACACTAGGATGAAAGAACACCAGAGAGACATCACACATGATTCTGTAGATACTTCAACCATTGTATTACATGCTAGATAGAAACATTATGTTAACACTAGGATGAAAGAACACCAGAGAGACATCACACACGCTTCTGTAGATATAGAACTCGAACTCTAAGTAGATACAGAGTCCCAAGTCTAAGTATATATATAGAACCAAAATCTAAGTAGATAGAGAATCCCAAGTGTAAACAGATATAGAACCTAAGTCTAAGTAAACATAGAACCACAAGTGTAATTAGTTATAGAGCCCCACGTCTAAGTATATATATAGAACCCAAATCTAAGTAGATACAGAGTCCCAAGTCTAAGTAAACATAGAACCACAAGTGTAAGTAGTTATAGAGTCCCAAGTCTAAGTAAACATAGAACCCAAATCTAATTAGATAGAGAACCCCAAATCTAAGTAAACATAGAACCCAAATCTAAGTAGATAGAGAACCCCAAGTGTAAACAGATATAGAGCCTCAAGTCTAAGGAGATATCCTGAACATAAAGATTTTTAATTAGAAATTAAAAGATATTAAACTATAGCGCTCTGCTCGAACTTGGCATAGATGGTGAATAGGGTGGTGTGTGTGTGTGAACTGTTTGTAAATGGTGAATAGGGTGGTGGTGTGTGTGTGTGTCTTATTTTAGTGAACTGTTTGTAAATGGTGAATAGGGTGGTGTGTGTGTGTCTTATTTTAGTGAACTGTTTGTAAAAGAAGTTTCTTGATGTCCACTTGTAAAACCAAACGTTTCTGTTAAAGCTTAAAATGCATTACTCGACTAAGTTCGAGAACCCTTCTTGATGGGATAAATAATTCATGAGACGTTGGTGTCGGGGCTCGGCCAGGGGGAGGGGGGTGTTAGAGCTGTGATTCGGAAACAACTACAGATCGTGTTAAAGACAAAGCCTGCTATTCATCATGCATCAAAGAAAAATATTTCATTGAAGTTTCATTAAAGAATACGAAGTTCGTGTCTACACTCGCAACTACATTACCATACAGTGAATAAATACTACAAGCGTTCAACTTCCCTGATAAACCTTAAAAAACGTGTTCGTTTTTCTTCGAATTTAGTAATTAGTGAAGGTTATACATACACAATTAACTGGGGGATCAACAGTACATTCTCATTACAATATTATTAGTACACAAACAGACTCATTATCTAGTATCATATCTCACTAATATAACAAATGTGGTATTGACTCTAATGTAACACATATGGTACTAACTAGTGTAACAAATATGGTACTGACTCTAATGTGACATATATGGTACTAACTAATGTAACAAATATGGTACTGACTCTAATGTAACAAATGTGGTACTGACTCTAGTGTAACAAATGGGGTACTGACTCTAGTGTAACAAATGGGGTACTTTAGTACCACATTTGTCACATTAGAGTTAGTACCACATCTGTTACACTAGAGTCAGTATCATATTTGTTACATTAGAGTCAGTACCATATTTGTTACATTAGAGTCAGTACCATATTTGTTACATTAGAGTCAGTACCATATTTGTTACATTAGAGTCAGTACCACATTTGTTACACTAGAATTAGTACCATATGTGTTACATTAGAGTCAGTACCACATTTGTTACATTAGAGTCAGTACCATATTTGTTACACTAGAGTTAGTATCATATTTGTTACATTAGAGTCAGTACCATATTTGTTACATTAGAGTCAGTACCATATTTGTTACACTAGAGTTAGTACCACATTTGTTACATTAGAGTCAGTACCATATTTGTTACACTAGAGTCAGTATCATATTTGTTACATTAGAGTCAGTACCATATTTGTTACATTAGAGTCAGTACCACATTTGTTACATTAGAGTTAGTACCATATGTGTTACACTACAGTTAGTACCATATTTGTTACACTAGAGTTAGTACCATATGTGTTACATTAGAGTCAGTACCATATTTGTTACACTAGAGTCAGTATCATATTTGTTACACTAGAGTTCTCTAGTGTAACAAATATGGTACTGACTCTAATGTAACAAATATGATACTGACTCTAGTGTAACAAATGTGGTACTAACTCTAATGTGACAAATGTGGTACTAACTCTAGTGTAACAAATGGGGTACTGACTCTAGTGTAACAAATGTGGTACTGACTCTAGTGTAACAAATATGGTACTGACTCTAATGTAACAAATATGGTACTGACTCTAGTGTAACAAATATGGTACTGACTCTAGTGTAACAAATATGGTACTGACTCTAAAGTGTTAAATGTGGTACTGATTCTAAAGTGTTAAATGTAGTAATGATTCTGAAGTCCTAAATGTGTTAACGATTCTAAAGTGTACCAAATGTAATGATTCTGAAGTGTTAAATGTGGTAATGACTCTAAAGTGTTAAATATGGTAATGACTAAAGTGTCAAATGTGTTAACGATTCTAAAGTGTTAAATGCAGTAATGATTTTAAAGTGTTAAATATGGTAATGACTAAAGTGTCAAATGTGTTAACGATTCTAAAGTGTTAAATGTGGTAACGATATTAAAGTGTTAAATGCAGTAATGATTTTAAAGTGTTAAATGTGGTAATGATTCTAATGTGTTAAATGCAGTAATGATTCTAAAGTGTCAAATGTGTTAACGATTCTAAAGTGTTAAATGCAGTAATGATTTTAAAGTATTAAATGTAGTAATGATTCAAATGTGTTAAACGTGGTAATGACTAAAGCTCCAATTGTAATAATCACTCGAACACATCGACAACAATAAACTCTTTGGGGCCTTGTTGCTACTAAATTACTAATGTTTGCAATATACTTTTTAATACAGCACTTCTTTCAGACATATAAGTGGTTCTTTCAATGCCCGAAGTTAAATTAACATCATTTGTACGATAGTTTATATTAATTATCACGTTGTGCAGTTTCAGAAAGTGAGATGCATGCATATGTGAAGTTTAGAAATGAAAGAAATCCACGATCCATATTGTGAGAAACGACTTCGTAAAATTCTGTTTCTTACCAAGAAACTATGAGATATATCCTTCCAATCCAAACTATAACTATGTCAGACAAGTCTTAGGCTTAGCTAAGAAACTATGAGATATATCGTACCTATCCACTCTATAACTATGTCAGACAAGTCTTAGGCTTAGTCAAGAAACTTTGAGATATATCGTATTTATCCACTCTATAACTATGTCAGACAAGTCTTAGGCTTAGTCAAGAAACTTTGAGATATATCGTATTTATCCACTCTATAACTATGTCAGTTCAAGTCTTAGGCTTAGTACAAGAAACTATGAGATATATCGTATTTATCCACTCTATAACTATGTCAGTCAAGTCTTAGGCTTAACTAAAAAA